AACAGCTCCCACGTTGGGTTTGTTTAATTCTACACAGTGACTTACAATGAAGCCTTGCTTGTCATAGCTGAATGCCTCTTTTGGCCCAGGTGTGAGTCTGGGATCGCCAAGTGTGAAGCACGTCCGCCACTACAGTCTGTCAATAACTTGATCCCTGTGTAATTCTGTTTAGTTTAGGATTAAAACGATCATGGATAGCTTGTTTTTACTGATTATAGGCTTGAGGTGAAACTGCCCTCTTCAATACTAACCAAATCCATCACTTCATTAAGTTCCGTAACAAGTTAAGTCCAAGGGCGTTGGCGAGTCTGATCGGTCAATTGCCTTTCAGAGGAGAAAATAAAATCCAATAACACCAATGAGAAGACATGATTAGCACGATACGGACGAATCATTTTCACTTATAAACCGAATTATCTTTTTGGCTGGACTGGTGTGGCCACTCAGTTTAGAAAAATGTTTTGTAGAAATAATTTTTTGCCAATAAAAGCAATGAACATGACACTAGTTAAAACTAACAAGACGAAACATAACAAATATGTAAGCTTATTTCCTCAAATGGAAAGATAAGATCGTGTGGGGCGTTTTCATCAAGTGATGAAATTATATGACTATTCCTTACTCTTTGAAATTTGGTGAAGAGTTGATTTACCCAGATGGATAAATTCGATACCGGAATTTATTAGCAGCAATTATCAACTCTTTGCTTAACAGAAGGCAGAGTTAATAAAACAAGCTGCTTGAAAAGCTATCGGTATTAAGTGGTGTTTTTTATGTCTCGTCTCGAAATCAATATAACTCTTACCTCAATTCCTTTCGATTTTTGTCCACCTTTGTTGGATTGAGTTCATCAGGACTTAAATGTGCATGTATCTTGTTTTCGGAATTACTGAATGATCAAATAGAATATGTTTACCGACTTAGTTTACAGTTTATGGAGTGATTGCCTTAAACGTTGCCTGCACCATAACTTGATGTAAAATAGTTTTGTGATAACATTCGGGAAGTGCAAAATGGCTTCAAACACCTGAGTAGAGGTCACCTCCGAGACATTTTGGGCCTGTTATTGACACGATGTTTAAAACAAACCACGGTTTTACGCAAGTAGTCGGAGTCTCGGGTATTCTCTATATGAGGGTTGATTTAATTGAATAAATGCTATTTCCACCTTTAGCTTTCGGTTTTTTTGAGACTGCTCACAAAAACAAATGTTCACATAAAAGGTTCGGCTGAGTTGAAGATAGTTTAGAACGCTGTTTTATCAAACAACGGCTACACTTTGTTTAAATAATAGGTCCTTACTTACTCTTCGTTTGCATGTTCAGTAAACATTAAACAGACGTGAGATTGAATTGTTTGAATAATCTTTTTAATGTGCTATATCCGCAACGATTCCGTTTCGTTTGATATTTCGGCTGATGTCTTGTTGTAAATCCGTTAGTTACAACATTTTGCGCTGTAATATTAGATCTGCATTTTGTTTCAAGTTAGCTGTGTTCAACATGAATGTGATTGACAAACAGCTAAAGGCAAAATTTTTTGCTGACGTTAACAGTGACGTACATTGCATGAGTGAAAATCCGAGAATCTGGGAAAAACTTGATACTTCATCTTCTCAACTCTCAAACACCGATCTCGTTTAATAACTTCTCTCGTTCCACAAATTAATACTCTGCTATGGGAATATAAAAGGTGATCAGCCGCAGAAAACCCATATTTCTCATATATTTCTCTAGTGAGAAAAACGAGGAAACATTTATTTTTTTTACACTTGGGAAATCTGTTCAAGCAAATGCAGATAAGAATCTTTTTCAGTAATTCTCATAATAACCACACTCGGAAAGGCTTGGAATTCTTGTCCTTTAAAAGAAGAATGGCTTGTCATATGTTCACAATTTTCGGACCGTAAATTCAATTAACGGATATTATCAGTTTGGTCAAACACTTTATCGCTTCCTTAATTACTTTATCAACGATTGTCACGCCCTGGCTGCGATAACCTGTCGCGTGCCGTGAAAATGTGGAAATAGTTGTAAGAAAATATATCAAACCAAACGTCGCCAGCTCTTGAGACGTACTAATTAAAACATATTGCGGGAATTCTAATTATCCAACTTTCCGGCGCCATACTTCGCTTGTTAATTCCACTCTAAATTTTAGTCTTATAGATAAGATAAAGATATGGTAATTGTTTAAATACATCATACTTACGCAACTCCCTCGAAACACAGTAACTTAACACGATTCTCCTTGAACAATTGTACTGTTTGTTAAAAATAGAAAGTTAAATGACCCTGTTCTTATGAAGAGTATCGCCCATAAGATAATTTCTGGAGAAGGTTTGTCGAATGTCGGCAAAAATCGGACTGTAGACGTAGTCTGCAAGCGTGAGTACAGTTTTATAATCGGCTGGAAGACGTAAAAATTGTAACGAAGTGTTGAGTGTTTATGAACTCATTTGCAAAACGACATTTTACTAACAATGCAATTAAAAATTTACAGCATTATTCACAAGTATAATAATAACATACATGGACGACTTTCTTTCGGAGTGAGGCCTTGTTTATCAGAGCATTGCGGTACAAGAACCATGAAGGAGACTGTCCATTTTATTTTACATCATACGAGCTACGTTAGAGACTCCATATTTCGCTGAATGCTTTTACGATCACCGTGGAGGACCCAGAAACACTGATAAGGACTCTTTTGTAGACTATCTATTTTGCTGTACATTTTTAAGGTCCCTTGAAAGATTCTTTCCTACTGTGCTATATAAGGTCCCTTTTTAGAGACCGTCTATTTTATTTTACATGATTGGGACCATTTAGACACTCTTCATTTCACTGCGCATTGTAAGGTCATTAATATTGACCATCTTCAATTACATCATTAGTGCGCACCAGCACCTTACATCGCCATTCTTATGTTCACAATTTGCAGGAAGTTGTCACCATGGACCGAATCATAGCTAAATTGTCCCCAGTCTCCTGCAGCTCAGTGGTAGAGCGTCCTAAATACTAATTAGATAGTTGCAAGTTCGAAACCTATTGGGAGCAACTATATTTGTTATTTTTCATCTTCCTCCATTTAAATCAGCAGGCTTATAATCGATTACCTTTGTCTACATCATCAGTAGGCATAAGCATCACATGCACATCCTATCTACGGAGTGGGCAGCGAGTTTGTCACCATGGACCTTGTTAAACGGCCTAGCTTGCCACCAGTCTCCTGTAGCCTTTTTAGTAGAAGAGCATTCAACAAGCATTAATTAAGGGATCCGGTTGATGGGCAAACTACAGTTGAGGCATGGTGATGTCTGCAGGCCAATGCAAATTCCCTCGTATTTCGTTTCGTTTATTGATTGATTGTACTCGATGCTGTGCTGTATATTTCATGAAACACAAGTTAGAGGGGCCAAATGAATTTAAAAATTTGGGGCCATAGCTAGCAATGATATTGGAAAAGGGACTAGAAACTTATTAATGGACAATGGTGGGGAGTATTTGTTCACTGAGTTTCAGAGTCATCTAAAGGAGAAGGGAATTAAGCATTAGTTTTCGGTGCCAAACTCCCCCCCCCCCCCCCCCCCCCCACAGAGCAGCGTATCAATCGTATTTTAATGGCATCAACACTTTCGATGATTGCACCTAAAGGATCATCAAACTACTTCTGGGTCGAGGTTATCTCGAAAGCTACTCATGCGAGAGACCACAAACCTTTAGCGCCGTTAAAAGATAATGAAAAACATCCGAAACCTATTGGGAGCACTCGTAGTTTTTCTTTTTATCTACTATACTTTTTATTTTTCCTTCACTTAAATCATACTGCACTGAAATCATCAGTGCGCAAAAGAATCACATATGACATTCGTATCCCTGGATTATAGAGGGAGTTTATAGACCTAGTTAAAGAGACTAGTCTGCCAAAGTACTGTAGTACGCATTATCCTCTTTTACATTCATGACATAGCTGCAAAATTTTATAGTGTTTCTCTAAACTATGAGTTGTATGAAGGCCAGAAACTCACTAATAGCCTTACTGGTTTACTCATGAGAGGAAAATACCGTCTACTGCAGATATAGGTGCTACGTTTCATGAAGTCAAAGACAAGTCACTCTCTGTCAGCGTCGAAGTCGCTGTCTATATCACTGTCGCAGTCAGTGTCTACCCCTCTGTCACTGTCTGACTGTCACCGTCTTGGTCACTAGCGCTCTCCCAACCACTATCTCTGTCTCTGTCACTGTCACTGTTACTGTCTCTTTTTATGTGTCTGTCAGTGTTACTGTCCTTGTTTCTGTCTCTGTTTCTGTCTCGGTCTCTGTCACCGTAAGTTTCAATGTCAGTTTATGGTGACTGTCTAAGTCGCTATTACCACCACACTCGGTCTCTGACACTGCCTATCTCCCAATCACTCTCTATTATGCGGTCTCTGTCACAGTCCCTGTCTCTGACTCTATTGCTGTCCCTGTCACTGTCACTATCAATGTCAGCGTCAGTGTCAGTGTAAAAGTCTCTCTCTCTCTCTGTGAAGTGCACTCCACTATCTCTGTCAATATTAATATCACTCTCCCTGTATTTGTTACTGTCACTGTCAGTGACAATGTCATTGTCATTATCATTGGCCATGAGTCTGTCACTGTCACTATCACTATCGTGGTCACTATCGCTGTCCCTGTCGCCGTGAGTTATTGTTACTGTCATAACCTCTGTCTCTATAATTGCCTCCCTCCCAATCAGTGTCTATTTACAGTCTCCGTCGCTGTCTCTGCCTCTGACTCTGTTGCTGTCACTGTCACTTTCACTTCACTGTCATTATCTCTGTCTCTGTCTCTTTCTTTGCAAACCACACTGTCACTGTCTCTGTCACTATCAATACTACTATCACTTTAATCACTGATACTGTTATTGTCATTGTCAAGGTCATTGCTACTATCACTGTCACTTTCCCTTTCCCTTTCCCTGTCCCTTTAACTGTCCCATCAAAGTCATAGTCACTGTCGCTATATTGTTAGTGACACTGTCACTTCTGTCACTGTCACTCTTAGTGTCTCTCCCATTGTCTCTGTCTCACTCTCTAATTTGTCTTCTGTTTCTAAATACAGCAATATCGCCATCACTGTCCTGCTCTCCTTCTCTGTCACAAACACTCTCGATGTCATTTTCACCAACACTGTTAATGTTTCTGTCTCTGTGTCTGTTAGTCGAACTATTGCTGTCTTTATCACTGTAAATGTTACCGTCATTGTCACTACTCTCTCAGTGTTTCTGTCACTCTTAAATTTCTTGTCTTTGTCGGTGTGACTGTGACTATCACCATCAGTGACACTGTCACCTGATTGTTAGGGTGTCTATACCTTTCACAGGGTTTTATCTTTGTATCTGTCACTGTCACCCTCACTGTCACTCTCTCGGTCACTCTTATGGTCTCTGTCACCATCAATATTCTTGTTTACTTAAATGTCTGTGCGACAGTCACTGCCACTGTGTTTTCAGGCCTTATTTTCACTACTGCTTAAGTAATGTTCGTTACTCCAAAGTTCGCTTCCATATTCATTTGGCAATGTCACTGTCACTCTCTCAGTCATTTTGACTGCTTTTATCTTTCAGTCTCTCTGAATGTGTCTGTCACCTCATTGTCATCGTGTGTGTCACTGTCACTGTTAGTGTCAGTCTCATTTGGTCACCGCTTCTGCCTCTCTCTCTGTCAATATGTCAATAGTACTTCTACCATCAATTTCTCTGTCAATGTCACTGTCACTTGACCTGTGTTTCTCTCCAAACTGTTATTTTCATCATCTCAGTTAAAGTCGCTGTCACTTTCACTGTCTTTATCATTGTCACCATCGTTACCCCTGTCTTTGTCAATTGTTACAGTTGTCAATTGTTACATTTGTCGATTGTTACAGTTGTCGATTGTTACAGTTGTCGATTGTTACAGTTGTCGATTGTTACAGTTGTCGATTGTTACAGTTGTCGATTGTTACAGTTGTCGATTGTTACAGTTGTCAATTGTTACAGTTGTCGATTGTTACAGTTGTCGATTGTTACAGTTGTCGATTGTTACAGTTGTCGATTGTTACAGTTGTCAATTGTTACAGTTGTCGATTGTTACAGTTGTCAATTGTTACAGTCAGTCCACTCCCTATTTCACTGTCACTTTCATTGTCATTCTCCTCTGATCACTGTCGCTATAACTTTATTGCCACAGTCATTCTCAGTGTTATTGTCTCAAACTCTCGTTCTACCTGTTTGTCTTTGTCATTGTCTGACAATGTCTTTGTCACTATTACTCTCAATATCACCCAAATGTACGTCCCACTTTCACTTTAGTGTCCCTATCAATATCATTGTCAGTCTTATTCTTTAAGACACTGTTAATTCTGTTTCCGTTACTGTCACTGTTACTGTCTTTGTCACCATCACTGTGGCTATCATTGTCGTTCTCTCGCTTTCACTGACCCTGTCACTTTCATTACCTTGATCACTCTTTCTATCACTGTTAATTTCACTGTCACTATCACTGTGTGTATTTGACTCACCGTCCATTTGATTCTCTCCTTGTCACTTTCTGACCCTGTCAATGCTTCTCTCGCTGTTATTTTCCTTGTAACTGTCACACTCTTTTTCACTGTCACTATCACTTCGTCTGTCACAATCACCGCCTCTGTCTCTATCTTTTTCACTGTCACTGTCAATTTAACTTTCACTTCATGATAAATGTCCGTGTCTCTGTCTCTATCTCAGTCACGATCCTTCACTAATTTGTACAGTAATCACTGTCACTCACACTGTCCTTGTGTCTATCACAGTTACTGTCTATGTAGTTGTGACTGTTCAGTTATGTCTTTCTCACGTTGTCAGTTTCACTGTCGATTTATTCTTAGAGTTTCTGTTTCTGTCACTGTCACTTTTTCTGAAAGTTTCTTTGTCATTGTCATTGTCAGTGTCTTTCATATTTACTCTTATTGTCACTGTTGTTCTCACCTTCACTATAATGACGTTGTGACTGTCTCTGTCACTGTATCTGTGTACTGCCGATGTTACTCTCATTGTCTATGTCAATGTCACTGCAATGTCAAGATAACTTTCTCTATTCCCCGTCCCAATCTCTGTCATTAAGGAGCTTAAGATACAGACGTTTTCGCGGCAACGGCGACCTGGAGAGCAGTTAAGATTGGGGTGAATTCAACTGCGTTTGTGGCCCCGCCGTCGCCCCCTTGTCGGCAACGTAAGATCGCTGGGTAAACCTTTGCACCAGGAAGAACTAGGAAGTAAAACGATATGTGAATTATGTAGTATCGTGCAACACACCTAAAGCCGTCACATAAAAACAGGATCAGATAGCCACTTAAAAGACCTTACAAAACTGGAGTCGAAGAGATACCTTTGCGAAGGGTGGTGCCACATAATGAATAACGCTAATAAATGAAGGTTAACATTAAAATTTACACTGTCGCTGTCTTTGTGACAGTCGTTGTCATTGTCACTGTGACTTCCTTTGCAATTGTTAGTGTTACTGTCACCATCATTGTTTTTGTCGCTCTAATTGTCACTAATTAGTCTAATTGTTACTTGCAGTGTCTGTCACTGTCAGTGTCTCTAGCATTATCAGTGTCACTGTCATTATCACTGTTAATGTCACTGTCACTGTAAGGGTTTTTTTCTGTCTTTGTCTCTCAGTGTCTGTTACTGTTAATATCAATGTGTCTGTCCCTTTCACTGTCACTTCATTGTCACTATCTCTGTCACTATCCCCCTCAATTGTACTGTGACTTTGTCATAACTACCACCTTCACTGTCACAGTCAGTGTTACCATCATTTTATTTCCTCTTTTTCTGTCACGCTGTACTGTCCCTGACATTAACAGTCTCTGCTGTCGATGTAACTCTCACTGTCATGGTGCTGCTGTCACTGCCACTTTTGCTGTCTATGCGTCTGTATCTTTCTTTGGCTCTGTCTCTGTCACTTTCACAACCGCTGTCACTGTCACTTTCATGGTCATAGTCACTGTCACTTTGGCTGACACTGACCCTGTCACTATCACTGTCTCTATCTTTGTCTCTGACTCTGTCACTGTTACTGTATCTGTTATTGTTGTTTTCACTGTCTGTGTCCCTTCCATTGTGACTGTCACACTCGGTGTCTTGTAATTGTTTCTTTATTTTTTCTAAAAAAAAGTTTTTGAGTTGCAGCAATGCAAAGAGAATGGGAACTGGAAAGGTGACCAGTACAAGCAGTATATTTCAATATGTAGTGAACTGTGTGTTATTGGGAAATTAATCCTTCGAGGCACCAGGATTGTAATTCCAAGTAAATTAAGACTAAACATATCAGCGCTTGCCCATGACGGACACCTAGGAGTCATTAGCACTCCAGCAAAACTGGATCCGATCAACTAACCCCATTGTCAGGAGGATCAAGGCAAGATTTGGCCATAAAATTTTCAGGACCATTACCATCAGAGTTTCAGTTTTGACTGTTGTAGACTACTTCAGGAGATACTAGAAAAGGGGAAGTTGTACGCTTCACGAAGAGAAAACATTCATGACCCGTAGATCACCTCTATCACTTAGAGGCATCAATGGTCCACAATTCAGGGAGAGCGTGTTTCAGCAGTTTATGGAAAGCCTCGGTATAGAGACTTGTTACGAAAGTGCATGTACTACAACAACGACAGTAAGTTTCGTACATGTACTGCAACAGTGACTATACATACGAGAGTACACGTACTGCAATAACCTCACAACTGGACACACGAAAAGTGCCATTTAAATATTGAAGATTTGAGCCTGGTCAGGGTTAAAAATTCCCAAGTAGATGATAGCGCCTTGGTCTTGATGTAAAGACCTTCCATGGACAGGATCACCGTGTCTGCGTAGCAGAAATCAAAACAAAGAGTACCATTCTCATCAGACCAATTCTGAAGCTATGTTTGCTCGAGGAAGCCGGGAGCAACTGTGTTGAATTGTTGTTCCTCTTTTGTCATCATATTATCTAAAGATCATTTCTGCTTTTCGGGAATAAAATTCTTCTTCACATAATAAAAAAGTAGCAAATTAATTGTGTAGCAATCTTGGGTGTTTTATCGAAGCTGGCTCAAGTTAATAGCGTTTTGTACACTCTTTTTGCAAAGCAACATTTTATTTACACCTTGATTAAAATTTACAGCAAAAAGTTTAGGAAAAATCTTTATCCACATGCAGATTTTCTTTCGAAGTGAGGCCATGTTTATCGGAGAATCGCGCCACAAGGACCGTGACGGAGACTGTCCACTTTATTGTACATCATAGGAGCCCAGTTAGAGACTCCCTCTACGGCTATTTCGAAGATCCAGAAATTCCCTATTTCGCTACACTAAGTAAGGACTCTTTTGTAGACTATCTATTTCGCTCTAAAAATTTCTGTATATCTTAAAGGACCCAAGTATAGACTCACTATTTACTCATGATGATAAGGTCCCTTTGAGGGACTCTATTTTACCACGTATCATAAGGACCCAAATATGGGCTGTCCTTTTCACAAAAATTGAGGTCCTTCCCTCTATTTTACTTTTCATCATTAGGACTCAGTTATAAATCCTTCATTTCACCGTAAATTATAATGTTCCTTTTTCCTTTCCTGTTTATCATAGGGTCCCTTTCAGAGACTTTTAAGTTAATTGTAGTACATTACAAGACTCTATCGGAAAATCTACTTCTCAAGTATTCCAATTTACCACAAAACATTTCAAGGCTTTTGTAAGAGACTTTCAGCAACACTTTACAATTTAACAAGGCCCCTTAACTGAGTATAAATAATCGGTCATAATAAAACAAAATTCGAAAGACATTTTGAAATCAAGAAACAAGGTCCTTAATACAGAGAGGAGTTTAGACTTCCATTGAGAACCATGGATGCTGCAGAACTTGTTTAAGAGTTGGTCGCTGATCTGCTTCGGGATTCAACAACATGTATACAACATTCTTGACCTCTGTTTTAAAAAGAAAAAACAGATAATTATTGATTTGAGTCAGATTTTTACGGTTAGTGCCCTTAAAATCACTGCATCATCTCTTAGGAAATTAAGGGTCGCAATCTCTTGGTACTTAAGGGAAATAGTTCGAAACCCAAAGAATCTTATCCTAGGTTATCTCAATGGCCGGATTTATCTCTAAATAGTGTAAATGGAGCCATTTCATTTGTGTCGAGGCAAAGTAATTCCCTACGTCATCCTCAGCCAGCTTGGATGGCGATAACCAACAATGACCTAGTAACAGTTCTTATAGAATTTGACCGATAATTGAGGGCGAAGATGTCCGACCATCACACCAGAATTTCCGAAGATTTGTAATTCCACTAAGTGCTCGTTATGATACTGAACAATTGAAGAAAGCGATTTTAAGTGTACCGAGATGAATATTTTCAAACCAAACTAATACACACCTGATGAAAAGTGTTGAGGTATTCTGGGCTCCATGCTTAGGCAGTGTTGTGGTTTTTCAAATGCAGAAATAACGGGTGACAACATATCGACCAAGAGGATTCCCATCGCCCATACAGTTGCCTCGCAACCGTCATATTTACTTGTTTTCATGAATTCAGGGGGCATATATTGATTCGTACCTAAAGGAAAATTATTGATAGCTAATTAGATATCAAATATAAATATAAAATTGTGGAGGTTCTACCCGTACTCCTACATGGTCCATATTCCTGGCCTCCACTTCTGTCACGTGATGCAATGTATGATTTAATTGGAACATTATGTAATGTTATGAGATGCGAAATCGAGACTACGAATATCAGCAATGAAAAGATACTAAAAATAAAGGGGCTGGGTTCAAAGACTGAAGGGTCGTTTTGGCACAAGATCTGTCAACTGGGCTGGCCTTCTTTCTGAGATCTTAGATGTTTGGATGCCTGATTAATCTACGTTATGGGGAGTTGAGATCACTCAAAACAGATTTCTCTTACGGAACAGTTCTTACCTCTAAAGCTTTCAAAAGGCTCTTCTTGTATCTCAGATGCCAACCCAAAGTCAATCAACTTCACCTCATCATTTGTCAAATCCAGCAAGATATTTTCAGGCTTGAGGTCGCGATGTATAACACCTTTTTCTTCGCATGTGATGTTAGCTTCCAAGATCTGAGTGAAGTATCGTCTCACTTCATCTTCTGACAATGGGTTTCCTGCGGAGTTACGGTCCTGTATGAATTCAAAAAGGTCTTTGCAGGATTCTGGTCGTTCCATAACATAACAGTAATGTTCTTCTGTAAAGATGAGTTGGTAGATTTGGATGACGTTTGGGTGACGCACTCGACTCATCAGATAAGCCTCAGCCGGGATTTCTCTTCCTCTCAGCTGTAACAAGGGAGGGGAGAAAGGATAAGACTGTTAACACAATTTAAACTTGCTTTTAACAAGTTTCAGTTACAAACTAAACGACAACAGGAGTCCGCTGATATTTTGGAGTAAGCAACTGTGATATATTTTGATGCAGCGCCATCAGAGACAAACTGACAAACTGTTTATAAACTGTCATAAACTCTTGAGACAAATCAATATTCCGATCGCATTTTTCGGGAATGTATTGGCATCCGTGACGGTCCGCAGCCGAGATGAATATTTTTATGAACGCACCTTGACTGATGAAGGGGAAGAAAAAATTCACATAAGAAATAAACAGCTCTATGAAAACAAGACAGGCGAACGATGATTTAAATCACTGCAATTCAATATTAAATTTGCTCAAATATTTCCAATCAATCCCAACCTGCTTGTATCAAACACAGAATGCAAAGTGATTTCAGGTCTTGAATCATTTTAATTTTTCCGTTTCAAAATTATCTCTCGGACATGACGTTCATGGCCGCTGAAGTTCTCCCCCAGACACTACACAATAAGATTGATATTGTCATGGTTATTTCTCTGATCCACGTTGTTTAGTGGCATAAACCAAGCTACAAATACAGAGAATAGCATCTCCACTTACATAAACTTGTACTAACCTTTTTAAATTCTTGCACAGAGCTCTTCTTTACAAACTTAAGCGCCACCTATGAAAAAGGATTTATGTGTTGTTAGATACCTAATGCATACACGCCAAAGCCCCAACCACCAGCTCCCTGGATACCACACTTCTTCCCCCTCCTTCTTTCCCTTCTAAGACGGCTTGGTTCTATTCAATTGCCAGTTGCAATTCGTGTCCTGAGTTAGAGAGGCGAAACTTTGTTAAAAGTAAACTGTCTCGGAAAGAACACAAGGAAATAAATCTGCATTAGGTTTTGAGCTCGACCGTTTGCTTTGAGATTTAGAGCTCTTCTTGAAACCAATTTGTTTCTCATTTCAGCCTAAAGCTAAATCTAAAGAATGAGTTTACTCCTCTTTAAATTCAATACTCAGATAAATGAGACACATACTGGTTTATCATCCGACTTGCGAGTCGCAGCAACTACTTGGCCAAATGAACCAGATCCAAGGAGTTTTCCTATCTCGTATTTCGCAAGATCAGCTGAAATGGAAGCGAAAATTTAAATGAGCAATCGATTAATTAATAAATATAAAAAAGAAGTATTTAAAATTTCACCGCTATAACTATTAAAAAAGGACATTGATACGGGATAACCATTCATTTCATATATACCATTATTAGGAAACGTTTTAAAACGAAATCAGTCGCCTGAATTTAAACAACAGCTCGCGTCGGCTTTAGCACAATTTTCCAGTAAGGGTAGGGTGAGGACGAGTGGCCCTTCATAAGTTTCTTACCAGCATTTGCATTTCACTGAGCTGTCATATTACGGCAAGTCGTCATGTTTTTTCCTGACCGATGTAGGCGTCATAAAAATTGAGAGAAAGTGCCTGTGAATGTTCTTCCTCCACAAGAAAAAGGTTTATTCAGGATTTAAGGAAGGATTTAATCTCAGTAATGGGAAAAATGGAATGAACATACCATCAGAAGAGGCAAGTTCCTTGATGTAGTCAGGAGGTTCAGTATTTTTAACTTCTTCCACATAACTGCCGTAGTCTGGCTCATAACTTGGTGACCATAATGGAGAATGACAATCTTTCAACCAGTCGGGCTCATCAGGGTCCTAAGAACATAAACACGTTATTGCAATGACAGCTAGAGAGAAATGCTTCAAGTCCTGGAAAAGTCTGTGGACAAAAATGGTCTCGTGTTGTTAAAATACGGTGAATTATAGAAGGTTAACGAATTGATAAAGTAGTCTGTTCCCTCCCTCCCTTTAGGGGGAGAAGGGGCTGAAATTGAAAGACTCGCTTCTAAAGCCTTTGCCACCCCTCTCCTGTTAAGAGGCATTTTCCAAATGCGAGGCAAAGCAAAGTGTACTCTGCAAACGGGATCAATCTCTATCTTAAGTTCTCTTTCCTTAAGTCATACTCTTTTTTATGGTGCCTGAGTCTTCGTTTATCCTGGTCTCCATAGACTACAAAACTACTGGTACTTTCTTAGGCATGAAAATTTTTGAAAAAGTTTGTACTTAAACTTCTCACAACTGTCTTGAAAACTGATTCAATTACAAAAATCAAACGAAACACAAGCATTTGTATCGTAGCTTAAGGCGCCCAATCAGAGGAAAACGGATAGGTAATAACCATCAGTACCGAACACTTTTTTTGCCATTCTGGCATGAAATCTAGAAGTGGATAAAAGTGTTAAATGTAAGCTTAATTATCAACCTTTTTTCTTCTTCTTTACCTCAAAAGCTTCATAATCGGGTAATTCTTCGCTGATATTGTTTTCTTGCGGTGGGTTACCCTGACGCCTGGCTTCCGCGCAGCTCGATCTTTTTCTGTTGAGGTAAAAGAAGCAACAGGGTTAATCATTGGTTGAATTACATACTATTTTCAACAAATCATTTTGTTATTTACCTTGATAACTTGTAACCGCTATCATAGCTTTCTTGTTGTCGTTTTCCGAGGGAAGCCTGTAAGAAAATAAGAAAGCAAAAATATGCTTTCTCAGTTGGTGTGAAATCGACGATTGATATTCACCTCTCGCTTTCTGATCACATAGCAATTTTCTTTTAATTAGAAGGTAATGCTGGATTACCATAGCTATTTCACTCCTTTAAGCGAGTACGCTAGATAGTACAATGTTCATTTTACCGATTGGACATTTTGATAAGTATTAAAACAAAAGTTCGAACACCCAATTAGTGAAACATTTACTTACCCTGCTCTCGTTTTCGGTTCGTTTTCTTGCAGCGAGGGGTTCACATACTGCTTTCCGCTTTCTAGAGGATCGTTCCGATTTATCTGCGATCGGATTTACATTTCCACGTTTTTCTTCAAGTAAACTCTCTTTATTTGAGACGTCTGAAGAAACTTTGTAGTCATTGCTCTTTTGCAAGTAACTAGTCTGAGGCACAATGCCTGAAAAATTGGATTTTTCCCTAAGAAGATAAAAGACATAATTCTGTGATAAAATTCTTTACTTACCTGGAGTCGTTGGGTAACCAGTTGCTAATCGTATACGTTTCGTGGTTCATTTCACTCACAATTTTCATAATTCCTGGGGAAAAATTTCCTTTGACTGTTTTTTTTTATTCATTTCTATGAGAATCGCTTTCCAATCGGTGAAACATGCTTTGCGGTTAAGCCAGAATACATAACTGCGAAGGACGGAAGACTTTATTAGGAGTGAAACCAGTTTCTGACTTGAAAAACAGCACCGAGGTGAGCAGCAATGCTTTAGAAAACATTAAATGATTCAAATGATGTGGAGCTGTTCCATGACTTTGAAAGTTTCTCCATTTGCTCTCTGAGGAAGGTACTCAAAGCCACGGAGAAAAATGAAAGCTACGTTGGCAAAATGAACCAAATGCAGGTAGAAACTACATTGGTACGACTCTTCTGGAACTTCTACGGAGTTGTATCAAACAAAAATTTATCTATCTATATGTAACTGCAAAGGCTGTTAAAACTTTCTTATAAAATTGCTGGAGATTTTGTTCAGTCGTATAACAAAATAAGAGTTTCCATAAATTTAAATTTAAAGGTTGACAATTTTTTATTTACCTCGGTAGTTGAGGACTGCAGACGAATCGTTGAATCTTCAGAAAATTCTTTAGAAACAAAGAAGAGAAATTTGATTCTTTAAGTTGTTACCCTCGCCGATAAACTACTGAAAAAGACTACAAAAAATCAAGGATGAAATCAACTTCACAAGCTGCGCTTCCGCGCGTTACTTCAAGAACTCAAACATATTCAATTAGTTCTTCTCCGCTGATCCTACGATATTTTCTAATTGCTAATTGTGTCAATACATTTCAATTAGAAAATCCTGACAAGTTAACAACTACTCTTATTTGTTATAACTTACTTCGACCTCCTTCTCTGTCTGTTTCCTTTTACTCTCTGGAAGGGAATCAATTCCCGCTTTCCGCTTTCTAGAGTTTTTGCTCGATTTCCGAAAGGGATTTTCATTCATGTTTTTGTCTTGACCTGACCTCGCCTTCTTTGAGAAGCGTGAAGTTCTCTTAGGCATGCTCGATCAGAGTTAGTGAATCAATAAACTCAACGTTGATTGCGATCAAATTGTGTCCGTAAATTTTTTCTGTGTTCACGGCTAGCTTACCAGTAAACAACTGGAAAATTTCCAAACGCAAGCCTTAAGACCTTTGTGACGTATTTTCTGACGTTTCGCGCGCGCTAAAAGGTATGACAGTAAGCGTGCAAGGTATGACTTTATCTTTAAAAATTTTTTTTCCAAAGACCTTACACATCAATAAAACTTCTGACCAGGAGAAAAGAACTGGAAATAGGAACTGCATCTTTGAAGACATTTTCCATTTAAATTCTTTACATTTGTACCATATCATTTATAAACTTGATAGAATCTTTTTTAAACTCTTCCGACTTTAAACGTAAGAGGTAGCAAGGTGGGAATTGGAAATTAAAAGGAGGAGCCTCATTTCTAAGATTCATAACAAATATACTCAATCTTGAACCGTTCAAAGTGGCGACCTTAAGCCATGTAACTGATCAGGGAGTCAGGAAAAGAGAGACATCATTATCCCCAGATCTCTTCCAGTTCGCCTGAGTTCCTGACTCGCCTCTCTAAACACCGATTTTCACTCACGGTCTTGAGATAATGATTCTTATGAAAGGAAACGATTAGGTAAGATATATTTTAAGATAATTTCGTCCTCACTTTTGTGGGATTCTTGGAACTGGTAGAATCTATACTATCCAATAAACAAACAGCTTATAACGGCCATAGGCTTTGGGGCGAAACTCCAAAACCAATCATAATGCAGAACCTATCATTGACAATCACATGACAAAATGGTGGCTCAGCTGAGATGAAGTACATCTAGATTATTGTGAAATTACAGCAGTTGTACCAGCTTAATATGGTACGATTACTGTTTTCCTTCAGAAAAAAAGCTTTTTGCAAGGGATCGACAACAGCATGAAGCTTGGCTAAAGAGTAACTTTCATTTCTTGTGTCCAAATATTTCTTAGGAATCTTCGGGAGAGAAGAAGGAGTATCTATTCAAAGTGCTTGTCATTGGGGATCTTGGTGTTGGAAAAACCAGCATTATCAAGAGATATGTACATCAATTTTTCTCTGTACACTACAGAGCTACAATATCCTTTCTTCAAAGTAGATCTTAAGGAAATGCAACTCCAATTTGTTGCAAAATCGTTGTGATACTGCAATGAATGTTCATTTCACCCAAAGCTAGTGCCTTGTTTACATTGTATTTCTTCGCTGGTGTTTTAACATCTTCTTGAAAGCGAAATGTCCTTGCACTGCCTTTAATACATCAGCTATATTGACGATACCGTACACAACAGCAGTTACAAACAATATTCCTCATAACAGTTGCACTAGTTTAGGTCACTAAACTTAAAATATCAAACAACGTGTAGAAACTATACTTACAGAACGATCCCAATTGTTGTAATGCTTCTAATGAGTGACTCATTAATCAAACCTCATTTTCCATTTTATAGACACTATCCCATGGCAGGTATCTCTAACCTTATTAACTTTAACTTTGAATACATTGGTGTTGATTTTGCTCTCAAGGTCATAAATTGGGACTCAGATACACTAATACGCTTACAGCTATGGGATATTGCAGGTAGGCCAGTAGTAGATTAATACTATTGTGTTTTAGAGGTGGGGAAAGCAGTGTGGCAGAATAGTTTATGGTGCTAGATTTGAAATTGGTAGACCTCCTTGAATCCTATTAAAATCATTTCCTCTAGTGTGCCTCAGAAATAGTCCACTGATGAGGCTCCCAGAAATTTTGATCATATTTGATCTTCTTTTTAACACATTTACTGTGTCCCTAATCAACAAAAAGGTTCTTAGAACAGAAGCGCTGGAGAAATATGTCACAATATTTTTGTAATTACACATGTGAGAGACCAAAGGAGAGGTGTTTGAAATTAAAGAAAAGGGTTAGGAGACAGAAGCCTTTCAATTTCAACAATTTTTAAATAGCTGTATTTTAAACTCTATTTGAAAAAATCTACCATTTGCAAAGAGTCAACCATAGTATTGAAAGCAACTTTGGTCAAACCTTGTAATATTTTCTGATTATGTTTAATGTTGTGAAAATTTTTGTGTCTCTTTGAACAGGACAAGAGAGATTTGGTAACATGACAAGGGTAAGTTTCTTTGCCATTAATTTTGTGCTCTCCAGTTGCAAATGCAAGGGTTGCCAAAGTAGCTGATCCAAGGAGACAACTGTCAATTTACTGTTCCCCTTAAGGTTACAGTAGACCTTCAGGGGTGCCTTCCAGAAAATGGTTTGTATTCAGGTTGCTTTTAATAAAACCATTGAATTCTGTATATCATCTTACAGCTTTTAAAATGTGGAATCCAAAAAAATTAATACCTATTTCCTAGATAGGTGCACATGCGCTTAGTTAAAATTTTGGTTTAGGAGGAGCACTTATTGGAAGGTGGCACTTGTTGAAGGGAGGTGCCTATCAAGAAACTATTAACCAGCTGTAATGTGAACTTAAAAGTTAAAAATTAAGTGTCTAAAAATAGAGATTATTCCATGGGAGGTGAGCACAAATGATTTTTATTTATGAGTAGCAATACATCAAAAAAAGAAGAATGGGTGAGTGCAGTGAACGAGTGAGTTTTTCGATGCATTGCAATGGGAGAATAAAAATCATTCAAGCACTTTCCATGGTATGATGTTTTTATTTCATACATACCAAGATTTTTACTCACTGACCAACACATTTCAAATATTAGAAGCCATTTAAGTGCAAGAGCAAATTTTATTATAAACACAGCCACACAGTCAAATCTACAACATGGTGCAATATTTAGTCTCTGTTGACAACTACATATTTTTTATTTTGTTATTTGTTTACACACTAGTTTGCCATGAGTAGGGGTGAGGGCACTTCATTAGAGTGTATGTGCTTTTTGAGGAATACATTATTTTAAAAGTAACCCATGAATCTATGCAAAAATAGAGCCTGAGCTTTTTACTCTGAAGTTTTACAGGCTTGTTACACCTCTTCAAAGAGGTTGTCAACATGTTCATGCTGACCAATGAAATACAAGCGTAAGACCCAAACTTCTTGCTAATGTGAAGTTGAAGTACATTCTCCAGTAATTTTTTATCAGCTAACTTGAACTCCCCCGTATCTTGAAGCTTTATCAGCCTGGTTCTACTGATTTTTTCATAGATTTTTTTGTTATATTTTTGGAACATTATTTTGCCCCTTAGGTTTATTACAAAGAAGCAGTTGGAGCTTTCCTCGTATTTGATGTCACAAGAGCATCTACATTTGAAGCAGTACAAAAGTGGAAGAATGATTTGGACAACAAAGTTCTACTTCCTAATGGATCTCCAATTCCTGTTGTACTTTTGGCAAACAAGGTTTTTTTTCTTCTTGTTGTGAACTATATTTGGCACATGTACCCTTGCAAATTAAATAGCAATAAATCCTCTTTGAAAATTCCTATTGATTGACACAATTACCACCTGTTAGATGGTGGTGCACAGTTAACCTTTCACTATGGCTTTTGCAATGCAATCTTCTTTTCTTGTTTCCCTGCAAATGTGTCACTCTTGAGTGTTATTGTGAGAAGCTTCTGATGTCTGAGGTTGATTTTTTAATTTTTTTCCTTGTTTGTTTGTTTGTTTGACAGTGTGATCAAGCAAGGGAAGGACTTGTCAATAATGCAAGTCAAATGGATGAGTATTGTTCTGACAAAGGTTTTATCAACTGGTTTGAAACATCAGCTAAAGAGGACATCAACATTTCTGAGGCTGCAAAATACCTTGTCCAAAAGGTATACATGGAAAATTATTTTAAAGCTCATCTGATAAGCTAATAAATTCTACAGTAATCGCATTTGGAGAACAAAACAAACTTATCAGAGGTAGGGTGGTATCTTGTTCTACAACTCAATTTTCTTTTGAGGAAAATGGACAGGAGCCAGAAGGTTAATTAACTGATCAGACTGAGGAAGCTAAAGGATTTACCCACTTGTAGTTGACTCCGAAGATAATTCAATTTTGTACACATGATCTTTTGCTGAGATTAGTGTTTTTTCCTTTTCATTTTTACAGATTCTTGAGAATGAAAAAGCTCATAACTTTGAAAGCATTCCAAAGGACCCAGAAACAATGACTTTAACAAACAGTACAACAGTAACTAGTTCTCAAGAATTCAAGAGTATTCCAGCAGCTGAACCACACAAGACTGGCTGCTGTTAGCAGTTGCTGGAATGAAAATTATCTGTAATTAAAGGAGCTGTTTTGTGGTGTTTGAGTTTTATTTTTTAATTATTATTTTTAGTGATGTAATAGATGGCCCATTTTAATACAAGACAGCCTTGTTAGTTTGTTAGTGGGCTGGGATGACTTAAATTATATATATGACCGCATGAAAAAGTTATCTGATTTTTTTTAAGTCCACAAACCATTACACAGCTCTTTTAGGCTTGTTATGACAATTGTTTTGATAAGAAAATTTGAGTAGTGATAATCATGGATTACAAAAGTGCAATTGCTCTCTACTAAGAAAATAATATTAATTGTCTTGATCTCCCAGTAATATTCAGTGAAAGGGGACTTGTGGGGTGATTTTAGGTAGTGTCCATTCAGTTGCAAAGTTGAACAAAACAATAAGTTTTAATTATGCGATATCTTGGTAATGAACTGATACAATGACAATCAGGTCAAAATGAATAGTGAAACAAGATTGGAAAAACAGCTAAATTGTTTTAGTTCACTAAGTTTCAATTGGATAAGAAACTTTCATAACTCAACATGTTGTTGATTTTGTGGTCTGTCTTTAAAAAGTAGTTTTTACTGCCACAGTTGTAAGTAGTTAGTGATTGGTTGACCAGTCCAAGATGGAGCCCCGACTATGAAATAGCATGGTATCATGACCAAAGCATTAAGATTAGCATGTGTTCTCCTGAAATGTAGTTCAACAAAATCAAAGTTTTATATTCTTAATGAAAGACCCAGCAGTTTATAGTTAATGTGCATTTTTGAGGTGGTTAATTGGGTTTGTGTTTTACAGGCTATTATGAACATTGTAAATTGAATACTCTTCTTGAAGTCATAAGGAATTTCAAAATGAGCCAGATAAGAAACCATGCATCATTCTTTTGTAAATACAGTAATTCATTTTTATTTTGGGAAATTTTGGTTTTGTAAGCACGACGTCTTTGTTACTTAAAGCTAAAGACATGGTGATCTTGTAATTTCCAGTCAGAGGGAATTATTTCAAGCTTTAAAATGATTTTTTTATGGTGAGGTTTGGCCTATTATGTTATCAACCATAGAAAGATTTGATTTTAAAGTTACCTGCATCGCATAGAGGTAGTCTGTAGGGTGAAAGTACTGAACTCCCTGGAATTCTCAGTAGGGTTGTGCCATGTTGTTCTGCAAATCCTGACCCCATTTCAAGCCAGTATTCCATTTTCCCAAACCATTCATGGACTTAGCTTTTAAAATCTACACATGCATTTAAAAATGACTTCTTACAGTTGTGTTAGAGTTTTGATCTGCGATGCTGTTATTTCTGAAGCCTCACGAAGCTTACTAGTGCCAAAGTCAAGTTTATACATTTTTCCCACATTTCTCATGTTCATTTGGAAAATTCAAAAGATTGACATGTTAATATGCTATCAAGGGTTCCTTAAAAAAACCAAAACTGAGATCAAACTCTGAAGCTGTTTTCACACCAAAGCAACCCAAAATCCAAATATTCAAGGTCAGGATATACCTCAAAGGTTATAGCATAAATTCCACCCACCCTGGTCAGGAAGTTACACTGTACATCAGATGGCTTTATTTTATCTGAGTTACTAATTTTTTAAATATTATGTATTAAACATTACAGAAGAGACATTTTTGTGATACAGTTTTAGTACTGATTAATCCACTTTAATGATCTTTTTCTTTTCTGTGGTTTTACAGTCCAGTGTCATCTACCAAAGATGGACTTCTAGAACTAAAACTGTTTTTTTCTTTTTTTTAAAAAAGGAATGGATGTAAAGGCATTTGGCAGGGGGCAGAGAAGAAATCAGTAACCAGATTTGAGAGGGGTTTTTAAACTCAGGTGTAAGGCAGAATGGGAAGGGAGGGAAGTGGTGGTATAAATCTTTGTTGACAGTCCCATGTCTTACACATCATTATAATTACCAATGCTGGAACTTCCCTTGGTAATGACTGAACCAGTGATGCACTGATAAGTTCACTTTTGATCCTTCAACCAGTGACTAGCATTTAATTTCTCCATACAACATCACCCCTGAATCAAACATTCAGGTAAAGAGAATAAAGGAAATGGTCATCAACTATAGAGAAGCTCTGGATTATGAAGCAAATTCTCCTCATCAGCACCTTAGAGAATGTGTAAGGAACAGTATGGAGAATATCCATACCAACGTTATGGTGGAAAGGGTTAACATACTGAAGAAAATGCACAATCTATCACAAGGGAAAAAAAAAAAGTACTCAATGTGATGCCCTAGCATAACAGCAAGTGGTTAAGCTTTGCTCATACCTTTGTGAGCATGACCCTGACAAACAGATGTCATTTGACTCCAGCAGATAAGTTTCCTAGAATTTCAAGATTTAAGACAACACCCTGTTCTCTGCAGCCCAATCAACACTAAACACCTATACCTCACCACAAAAGATGAGTAAGTTGTCAATACCATAAGTATAGGTAATTGTGCGAGGCTAACTAAAACTAAGGATAAGCATCAGGTGTTTCAGAAGTTGCAGAATTTGCCCAAGTTGGGCATATTAATCCTTTTATTTAGTGATTACTTGTTTACAACATCAAGGGCAAAATTTTCTTTAATCACAACCATTACAATTTCCTCAAATGTGATTGGTGTAGTAGCTGCTTTGTTTTTCACAAATTATTCTGTAGAGTTGTAATCAGACAGTGTAATTGGACAGTTGCTTGTAATCGGACACCTGTAATCAGACAGTTAAAGAAGCCAATCATATTTAGTCCTTTCTGTCAAATCCACCGATCACAGAATTGATCACAATAACCATAGGAACAACCACATCCTAAAAATGTTGGAATTTCCAAAGTTGGAGAATTTTTTCCTTAGACGTTGTCTCTACTGCACATATTTGTCCTGAACATATTTTTTGTTTTTGGAAAATGTAACACTTATGATTAATTGGTAACAGGACTTTGTGTTGCCCAATTCTGTCAGTAATCACACTCTTGATTGACAAATCGGACTCCTCACAGTCATTCGATTTTGTTAATCACTCATATGATTACTGACTGAATTGCACTCCACTCAGTCCTATTACCATTATTGATTAAGAATTTGGAAAGGCACGCTGTTGTGCAATTTCATGGAAAGCCATTCAGTATTTAGTTGGCATCAATGAACTGTAAAACACACGAGTCAGCTGAATGAATGATTATTTTTGAACCAAACTGCAAAAGCAACGAGACTAGCCCTGCTAAAAAACATTAACCATCAACGAAATTAAAATACTCAAGGTAAAGTTAATCCTGTATCAATGTATTCAATTTCAAGGAAATTTGCTGAGGGTAATTACCAAAATTAAGGAAAAAAGCCCTCTGTCTCAGTCAATCAGCATTCAGTATTTTTGCCCTCTATGTTATAAAGGATAATAATTATAATCTGTTAGACTTTATTTTTGTTTCACTCAATCAGTACATTTATATCAAGAAAAACAATTTCAAAACCTAAATGAACCCCGTAAAATTTCCGAACAAATGCAGCACAAAATATGAATAGGTGGTGTTAACAGTAGTATTCATTCTTTATTACAGGTGATGTAAATCAAATTATGACAATCTTCTTCACATTTCCCTTACAAGTTAAACCTGAACACAATTTGTTTGAAAGCTACAAAATTTCCACAGCTGAAAGTAATTTGTGGAGGAATTAACAATCCCTTCAAGGATGCACACAAACACACTGATGATGTTCACTTGTGGTCCCACATTTCTCTTTCAATGCGCTCCTTCTTGACCTGGTCAATGAGAGGTTGAATATACATTGTGTCCTATAAGAGATGTAACAAAATGAATTATTAATCCTGAACATTCTAGGTGTATTAACCATTTTTATCCAAAAAAATTATCCTTCCACAGGTATACTTTGCCACACTGAAGTGGAATTTTCAGAAAATAACATACAAAATTGTAGTCAATTTAGTATTGGAGTATTCAGCTTATTTATTTTGCAAATTCTGTGGTCTTTGTTACTAAAGTCATTCTTACACTGGCAGTTTTCTTTTTCTGCTTTTTTTAAGTGTTCTACATATATCAAACATGTGCAAAGAAGAAGTACGCATCATTGGTTACTAAAATAACTTAAAAACCTTTGTGCTGAACTAAAGTCATCTTGAAAATATTTTTTAACAAATAAACCAACAACTGTTCTTCTCACCTGTTAGTGAGAAAACAAATTTGAAAATCAAAATTGATAAAATAGAGTGCTTGTTATTCACACGCCAACATTTTTGAAAAGATGTTACGCAGGTTTGCATCAAAAACACTTAACTGTGGCTTAACTACAAAGAGAGAACTGATAACAGCCTCTGAACACTCACGTCTAACTATTTAGACAAAGTTTAGCTGTTGTTTAACAAAACCACCTCCTAAACAATTCTCAATTTAGCTGAACCTTTTATCTAAACATTTATTTTTGTGAACAGCATCAAGAAGGCAAAAAGATAATAGCTGAGGGATATTTATTTCATTAAATCAACCCACTTACAGAGAAAGCCCGAGGCCCACTGACTGGGTAAAACTGTGCTTTGGGTTAGACCTTGTGTACATAACTAGCCCTAATCATCTAACCTTATATCAATAAAAAAGCAGTATTAACTGTGAAAAGCGAAGAAGATCATGTTCTTGTGGTTACTGGTTAGCCAAAGCAACTTTTTGTTATTTTTCGTAAAGCAATCTGCAGCTGTGTGAAATGTTTTTCATATCATTCTCCAGCAGGTGCTTTGCTGAGGTAACTGCCTACTTCAAATCTTATCGAAGGCACTGCTTTACTCTCACAGCTCCTCTCCACCGTTTCTGGTAATACAGATAGTGGTGGTTAATGGTAACTTGGAAAATACACCTTGGACTGGAAACTACTGTGTGTAGCAACTCACATATACAGGTATACATTCTTATGTTCATATCACAACAAAAGGATCAAATAATTTAAATAAGCACAAACAAACCTCTTCACTTGTTGTCCAGTGCTCTTTGGGTAGAATGGTATGTTTCATTGTCAAATCAAGAGCTCTCTTAATACGGAACTGTCTCAGGTTGAAATCTTCAGGGGAAAGACGTTTTACAGCTTCTTTCACATCAGGGTCATCCTCATTCAGCAAGTCACCCCTGCGAAGACCTAAAAATAGCATTGAATTTGCCATAAGCAAACAAACTGAAGATGTATTGTCATTTAGACAAAGGGCAGTCTTGTATCTTCTACTTACACATACTATAAATCCCTGCCTAGCCTTTCTCTGGTGACAGTAGCAGAATAAACATATTCCCCCACTTAGATACTTAAAGAGAACACCAGACTCCCGCAGACATTATATTTATACATTACTGGCACTTAAAATTGGTGGCACATAAATTTGGCTGGCAGACATGGAAGTTCTACTTTACAGCAAGAGTTTATGCTCTACTTCAATCTTATCTATGGTATCTAGACAATTTGCCTGCAAATTCCTTAGGACTTCACCCAGTTTATTGGAAGTTTGTGTACTTTAATGGCTAAGTTGGACAGCCAAGTGTATTACACAACCAAATTTACCAACTTTGAGATTGCTTTGTCACAAACTCCTTTTGATCTTCCACAAAACAATGGTTGTGCTCCATTATCACAAAAAACCAAATACTTAACAACATTATTTTAAGAATTCATGCTCATCCTTGTATCCAACTGGAAATGCAGTAAGGCTACCAAACTTACGTTCCTCTATGTAAGCAGAACATAATGAACACGCTTTTGTGTTTTGGTTTGTATGACCACTGATTAGCCCTGTTACATGAACTAAAATCATTAAGTTTAGCCATACTAAGTAAAGAACACATTAAATACAATTATGATGACAGTTGATGTCAAAATGTGTTAAGGACTATAAAGTGCATCACTGATGTTCTTTCCACATCTTAACATCTTCTGTGATCCATTACTGAGGAATCTAATGTTTTATATGATAAAAAAGTGAAATTTTGTTTGTGGTGATATCATCCATAGATCTGTCTTCCAATGAATCATAAGTAGGAATCAATCAAAACGTGTGTGGGATTCAGCTTACAGCACTCCAAGCTGCCACCATTTTGGTCACCATGGCAAGTGAAAAATATATATTTGGTGCCTAAATTTAGACAAAAGTAATCAACTGGTGACTCATAGATTAAAGAGAAAAAACTTGAAAAAATTATCAATCTATGGTCGAATTATCAAACATAATCAATGAGCACTCCAAACTGCCACCATTTTGGTCACCATGGCTAGTGAAAAATATATTTGGCGCCTAAATTTAGACAAATGTCATCAGCCAGTGACTCACACATTTAAGAGAAAAAACTTGAAAAAATTATCGATCTATGGTCGAATTATCAAACATGATCAATAGTCAACTCAAGTTCCGATAAAATTTGACGACAGGAAAATAGGATAAAATGACAGGCTAACTTTTCAACCTACCCCATGGCCTAGGATCATAGGAGGTTAGGACTTACATTAATGGTATAAGGCAAGATTGCCCATGGCTCATTACCGCTGCATTTCATAATTTTTACCTTAAGGATGCATAAGCTTGCACGAACAGTTAAACATCGCTTGACTTTGTAAATATTGGGTATGTAACATGATCCAAGAATATACATGAAAACTGATTTAGATAAGCCTACGGCTAAGAAATTGGCATAAAATGGAAGAGGAAATATATAATTTTATAGCCAGTGTGTTTTCGTTGATTTTGATTATTAACTATCGCCACGGTCTCCACGGTAAACGTAGCATGACACGGCCGAGGAAAGTGCAGCGGCACAATACTATGATAGAGAAAAATGAACCATCAAAGAGTACTCAAACCACGCAGATTTCAATCAGGTGGCTCGTTCCTCTACAGGGAAACTTACCAAGTTGTCTGTAACCACAAGCATAGATATACCACTCATGGAAAGCTTTCCAAATCCTACCCGTGAAAGACAGTTCCCTTCCTAGCCTTGGTCCGACAGAGGCCATCTTGAAAATTTCAACCGGTAAATATACCATAATACTTCTATGGTTTTCGTGATATCTTCCGGAAAATGCTCGGTGGATTCCGGAATCACTCGAGCGAGTGGATAAGCCAATCAAATGACGCCTGGCACTTCTTGGCTTCTCTCACGGCTAAATCCTGCAAAATCAAAACATGGCGCGAGATACGTGGAGATTCCTGGCGAATCCCTGACTAGGGCCACATGCATTTATCGAAATAACCACAACACTGCTGACCTTATGAATCCCTCCAGGGATGAGTGCAAAGATACAAGCTCAAATACCTCATCGGCGTTCTGGAAATATCATGGTCTGGCTAGGGATGGGATAAATTTATTGTTGAACAATGGTTTTGAAGAATCACAAAAGCTCTTTCGAAGTCACAGGTAAAATTTCATCGTTAAGACGTGTTGAATAGGGTTTTGTTTCAAATAATTCTCGTGTATTGTGTATTTTGTTTTTACAAAATCTCGCACCGATGAAGTCTCTCTGAGCGAAGAATGTTTGTTTAATTTTCAACCTCTGTTTTATGCTGATTTTACCTGCAAGAACCGGTGGTTTTTTTTTACGCATAATATTTATTCTGGTAGTTGCTAGAACACTGTTTCTTATCTTCCGTGGTGGGCTTGGCCTTTAGCTATGGGCTCATTTTTTCTTGGGGTGGAAATTAGGGCGAGGATAAAAATTTGATGGCAATTTCTTCTTTTCTGAAAACCTAAGCTAACGTAAATTAGCGTTTACCGCAAGCTCGTGTTGGTCATCGTATAGACTTGAAGGACTTATTGAATGATATATTTACAACTGATTTGCATGAAAGGTGAAAGTAAGCGTTTCCTCGATACGAAAAGTTTTATCTATAATTTTGACAAGTAGAGTCTAAACATCGAACAGCGGGGATTTTTTTATCACATTTTGTAACCTCGTCTTGTGGGAAGTCGAACAAGAAATGGTTGTTTTCGGGTTAGTACATAAAAAATTCATGAATGATCCTTCTTTTTTATGCCTACGCATTTGTGATCCGAAAGAAACTTTATATTTTAGAGAGCTGCCTCGAATTTACATTATGTCACCAATCATGTGAGTTCATAACCTGTCAGATATTTGAATTGAGATCAGTTAACGATTTATTAACAGGCTTGAAGAAGGGAAATTTTATTTGCTCAAAAATTTGAATTCCTTTTTTTAACTTAATTAGATTCAAAACAGAATATTCAATAAAATACATTTGCCTAATGGTGAAGTTAAAATTCTCTTATGTTCTCAGAAAGTTTACTTTGTGCAGCTTTTTGTTAAGGATGTTTCATTTTACTTAAATGGTTCAAAATTATTAAAGACTTCAACCATACAATTTTTTTGAGCAAAACATTAGCACTTCATGTGACTGTGTTTAGATCTTGATTACACAAATTAATTATCCTCCATGACCCTTCTTTTTATACCAAATACTTTCTAGAATGAAATTAAAGTAATTTGTGTGCAAGCACATAAATCAGCCTGTCTTTACTCTTGTTAGGTATTTCTTGCTTGTTATAATTATTTGGCTATTTTTGGGTGGGGATCAATGTCATAAAATATTCAAAGTTTAACAAACAAGATTGCATTGTAGTTAGTGTAAGATAAGTCTTCTTGTGTACTTAGTGATTCATGGAAACACAAAGCACAGCTAAGAAACTTTACCAACATTGAATAACTCAGCTGTATAGACCATGTAGTTACCATCAGTGACACTGAAAGTGACGACATGTTAGTTAGTACTGGCAATTTGACTGAGTTGAGTCCAATTTGGTTGTTAATCATACAAGTGATTCACATTTGTTCATCATGAGTATGATTGAAGAGACCAAGTTAGACAACAGAAAGTCATGTTGCCAATTAATTTGAAAAACAAAACAGCCATAATTATAATATAAAACTGGTGGCTGTTTTGTTTTGCAACCTTGTCATAGTATATTATGTTTCCATTAAAAAAACAACAACAACAGTTAACTCAAGGAAATGCAGAACAATAGTATGTGCACATGATGAATAGTGACCAATCACATGCATACAGTCTGATTACAACTATAACGTATACAATGTCCTATAACCAGAAGATGTGCTGGTGATAACCGATCAAATTCAAGAATTTTGTGAAAAGTCTGATTAATCTAAGGTCTGAAAGTTACTGTGTTTGCTAATCATCACAATAAAATGTCCAATGTTTGTTTTGCCTGCCATGGTTTTGACAACTTAATTGAATTTGATGTTATCTGCAATATCTTTTTGTAGCCTGAATTGATATGTCAGCAGTAGAAGCAAATATTTTGTTTTCAGTAATTAATTATTTCTATAACTCCCAGAAATTATTAATATTAAATTATTTTATTTTCAATATATTATCCAGTGAGAATATACAAACTTTTTAATCAGATTGTTTTTTTCTGGAAATAACATGAAATTCTTTTGAGTGACATCCATGGAAATGAAGGGCAGCTAATAAATAAAAGCTATGCTCATAAGATGTTGCAAACTGAAGGGTCAACAGGGAAACAAGATGTGCTTGGATGTTATCTGAAACTTAATTTTGAGGAAGTAATGCTGTTATAACTTCTAAGGGGCTAAAAGTTATGAATTCCTTAAATTCCTACAGTTGTTTAAAGTTATGGAGGCAAGTCATCATTAGTTTATGAAATAATTCAATGCTCATTAGCATAACTATTTCTGTATAAACATTTTGACGGTGCAATGCATTGAAAATGTGCAGTTAAACATGAAAATGGGTAGGTAAACCGGTATTAAGGACTAGCAAAAGTAAGCTGCAATTAGAGTTTGAGTAACATTATGCCTGTGATGTTCCAGTAAGTGATGTAGAAATCAAACTTGACAACAAACAACTTCTGTTCGGCAAATTGCTTTCAAAGTATTTGAAATTTGTGTCTACATGAATCCATCATCACTTAGTAAAGCAAGCATCTGTCTCTTGATCAACAGTCACTTCTCATAATAAATTTGCCAGGTAGTTTTGGTTTTGTAGCTTAGTGAAGCAGATACTTTCAAGTATGTACTTTTTCAGGGAGGGTTAGAATAACAACAACGATTTGAATGCATCATGGCCCAGACAAGTTATTTTTCTAGGTTGAGGAGAGGTGGATTTAATTGTTATAGAATTTGTCTTGAGGTCTAAAGGACAATTGACAAATTTAAAGGAATCACAAGGTGTATTTTTCTACAAGTAATTTACATGATCCAATTGTTACTTTAAGTGTGGAGATGATTATAAAAAGTTTCACTTTTTACATTTGTTTTGATGTGGAAATAAAGTAAGCTGGTACATTAAATTTTTTATACATGTACTATAGGTAATGGTGCTGGCATTGGAATTTAGCTTTGTTCTACTGGTAGATACATTGTATGCTGTATACTCTGTACAATGTACATGTGATTTAAAATTTTTTTTTATCAACATCTGCCTCTTCTTTTCTTTTTAAAGTGATGGCTCTCCACTAATGAGTGCTGGTTCAGGCATGGTAGACTTTGTGGTAAGTTATACCTGTCCAGTGCTTGCCTTCTTCAGTTTGTAATTTGTTCCAAACAAGATAAGTAAATTTCCATGTTATAATTGTCATGCACATTTCCAGGGTCAGCAGTTCTGATTCTAAGCAGTGTTTTCATATAGGAACCCTGCGGTAAATGGCCTATCTCACTGGAAATTATCTGTAGCTCTGCCTGATGGTGGAAGAGCATTGGACTGTAATATCTGAGAATCTGATGTTTGATTGTGCATTCTTCATCCCACCCCTGTGAAAATTGAATTGTGTTTTTTCTGTTTTCAGTGACTTAGTGCACAATTTGTCATATTTCTTTATCAATAACTACATGTGCTGTATTTTGAAGAATTTTCTTGTCAAAATCTTTGTTGATTGTCTACTTTTAATTTTTTTTTGATTGCAGCAAGCAATCCTTACATTTGAGGATGATCAGCTTGACAGGGCTCTTGAGAACCTTAAAAGAGCTCAGAGGATTTGCTGTGTAGAGAACATCAGGAAGGGTACAGGAATGGGGCTTGATGAACAGCTGATGAGGCAGATCTTGTATGCTGATTGTGAGCTCTACATGGCTCTTCTGACATTCCTCAAACAAGGTAAAACTGACACTCTGAGCCATTGCTTTTTATAATGTGGTAGAAGTAACGTTTTGTTATGGTTTATTCACCATTGCAGGCATCACTGATTATATCAAGGGTGGATATCTGATGCGACGTGCATGGAAGCTCTATGATAAATGCTACCGTGAGATAAGTGCTATTGGTGGACCATTCTTGGCATGGGCCCCTGAGCTAAGGTGTAATACAAATGGTGCTATTTCATCTGGCCTTGATGATGTTGAAGAGGCTATTGATGAGGTAACTATGTGTATATGTAGACATGTGTAATCATTCAGCACACTTATTAATAGCATTCAAATGAATGGGCATTTTTTGAGCTGGTAGTCTTTGTAGCAAGGCACAATGTTATGGTTTTTCTCTCTCAGTAGCTCTGATCTTTTCTGGTCAGGAATGTCCTTGTTAATGGTTACCAGTGGACTCACTAGCTGTAATAGACTGCTTACTCAGTGCACAGTTTGTTATTTCCCTTCAAGCATTCAATGGGCTGTGAGCAGTACCATTCTCCCAAAGTAGACTCTTATTCACACCCTTTAACTCCCAAGATCTGATTGTTACTTCTCCCCTCTAGGAGCTGCACATTTCCTTGTAAATAAGTTAATTGTAAATTAAGTGTTACATCAAGGTAACAGCTTCTGCCTGATAAGTTTGAATATTCTTATTGCCTGTTTGCTGGATATTATATTGACATCATAGGGAGAAGTTACATGTTGATCATTCCTGAGAGTTAATGGGTTGATTTGTCCATAATAGTGGTGCAAGCAGTGAAGTATGATTACACATAAAGATGTTATCACACAGTATTCTACAGTACCAGAGTTGTTACTAAATTGGTATTGTCCCCAACACTGTAGTCTGTAGAAACTTGTGTGGTATCACCCTTGGACCCTGAGGATGTGGCGTCTCCCCTGGACAATCTAACCATAAATGAAGAAACAGTCAAGCTCTCAGCTGCAGCAGTCAGTCCTGAGGCATTAAGGCACCTTCAGGCTGCAGTATCCTGTGGTTATGGGCTGTTTCATTTGGCAATATCTCTAGTGCCACCCAAGCTGTTAAAATTCTGTCATCTTCTTGGCTTTTCTGGAAACAGAGAAATTGGAATACAAGCATTGAACTTGGCAAGTCAGAGTGAAGATATGAAAGCTCCAGTGGCAAGGTTAGTTCAAGTAATATAAAGATTTCATAACTTTGCTAGAAAATTGTAAAAGTCCTTCAAATAAACACTAAGTATCTTCCTGTATGAGTATTTTCATAAAATCTGCACAAGTGTGAAGGATTTAGAGTGTTCTCAAATCTGTTCAAGGTTTGTGGGAAGATCCACCCTTGGAGATCTCTTTAGATCTTCAATAGTCAAGGTCATTGTGACAAAAGTAATTTTACACTTTTTTCCAGGGTTCTTGGCGAAAATTTTCACTAATTCTTTTTTAGTATTATTAAAGCAAAGAACCTTCCAAAGAGCTTGCAATAGTTTTCAGTTTGTAAGAAGTCATTCCTCACTTGCTTACTTGTATGGTTTTACTCTTACAGTAGTATGCTTCAGTCTATGAAGTAAATTGAAGCTGTGATATTCATATTCTCCTAGACTTACCTTACTGTGGTATCATGCGGTTATCAGACCATTTGTTGCTCTGGATGAAGGAAAAAATGAGGAGGGTGTGTATTGTTCGCTTATCAACTAGACAAATAGTTAACTAATCCAACTCAAGCAGGTAATTTAGTGTTAACAACTGGGTTGAAAACGTAAATTAGCCACCGTAAAGGGTAAAAAAGCTGATGTTTCGAGCGTTAGCCCTTCGTCAGAGCGATTAGACGAAGGGCCCTTCGTCAGAGCGATCTGACGAAGGGCTAACGCTCGAAACGTCAGCTTTTTTACCCTTTACGGTGGCTAATTTACGTTTTCAACCCAGTTGTTAACACTAAATTACCTGCTATACTCTCCCACCGACGCAGCACCACAGTTTCTTTAGAAACTTACCCCCTTAATCTAACTCAACACTAGTATAACTGTCATTTTGTACTTTATGATATGAATTAGAAATGTAGACTTACCACCAAACTGTACCTAGCATACACACCATGTAACCAACACCTAAGCAGAAAAATGGATCATCACATACAGCTTTACCAACAGTTTTAGAGTCTACAGTGCCCAAGGCAAGGTAGACTCATTGTTATCTTGTCCGTAAGTCTGTCCCTAAACAATCCCATCATTCATAGTGGCCTTACACATGAAAATGCTGTTTTAGAAAATAGCTGAAAGAAATTTCAGAGTTGTGACCCAAAATTCACTTCTTTTATCCATCACTCAGTTACTCCTTCTTTCCACCTCTTCTTTCAACTCCTGTTAACTTTTTGTCAGTTTGCTAGCATGTAAGGCTTTAGCTTGTTCAATTCCACTTCCTGTATGGGGCTCAACTGATAGCTAAGAATTGGTAAAAATTTCAACAGTTAGCCGAGAAGTAAAGTGTATTTGACTGACAGGGTGGATCTAAGACCAAAAAATTTGACTAATGGATAAAAGATCATTCGAAATAAAGACTGAGTAAGATCTTTCAAATACGAGGCACTTGGATAAATATACTTTTCAAGGGTGACAAGCCATCTTACATTTCAGTATTTATAGGCCTTGTTTTCAAACTTTGTTGATCCAGTATGGATGAACTGTAGTCTGGAATGATTGAAACAACCCATTTTTTCAAAAGTGGAAAAGGATAGACAAACATTGTGACTTGGCAATAGACTTCTCAAATGCTGATTTCTGCTCAGAAAAAGGTGAGGTTCTGGATGAAAAGAGATACAAAACATATACTTTTTGTTAACAAAAATAGGGAAGAAAAGGAAAAGAAAGACAAAGGAAAAAAACTTGCCTCTGCTTGGAGTCAATCCCTTGACCTTTTACCTGAGGGGAGAAGCACAATCTGTTGTGCCAAGTATGCAAATGTAACTTGAGACTTGATCTAAATACTATTGACCTAACCTGTTTAATTAATTTTCCTTGACAAATGATGTTTAAGTTCTTGTAATTTGATATTTTTTAAGGTTTAGCCAATGCGACTTCTATCTTAGAAGAATCTTACCATGAATACCCTTGCTCAGCTGTTTTTTTGTTCTTCAAAGGGCTTGTATCCAGATTGAAGGTTAGATACGAAAAATCATGGGTTTAATTTGAGCACAGTTGACTTGTTTCTGATTCAAAATGATGTGTTTTCTCATAAAAACAATTTCACCTACTAGACTAGAGTGGAAAAAATTTTTTGTTGATTTAATTTTATTTGTGTATGCTGTATACAAGATAATATCGATGGAAGAAAAGGAATGCAAAGGAATTAAAGGTCCTGGCTTCTTGCTTTTGTGCCATGAAAACAATTTCAGTTGTTTATACCATTACAATACAGAAATAACTGGTCATCAGGCCTCAAAAAAAAAGCTGTTAACTGGACTTAATCAGTGGAGTATGTATGTAGAGCTAATACAGCTGTTTATCTTTAAACAGGGTCACATTGGTGTAGCATTGGATGAATTTCATCAAGCCATGCACTCTGCTGCAGGACAGCAAGAAATAGCTCTTATATGTCAATATGAAATAGGTAATTATTTGGAAAATTTTCTGAGAACAATTACATATATACTAGTATTCCAACTTGAATACTTATAACATACTTGAACCATTTCAAAAATTGACTTGAAACCCTTTGTCTGTGATTCATGCTGGTGCAATGTTTTCTTGTGCTCTCCTCTGGTTTATATACATGAAAATCTGGTCACTTGGTTTAAAGGCAGGAGCAGTTCCTTATGCTTACTTAATTTCCTATAATTCAAGTTAGCCAGTTGATTACTTTACATGATGTTACATTTAATCCAAAACTTGTCTTCCTCGTTTAGGTTGGTGTCACATGTTAAGGCTTGAGTGGGAATACGCTCTCCCAGCATTTCTTAGGTACTTTTTTTGGTTTGTTTGTTTGTACCATCTTTTATTTATTTCATTGGGAAAAAGAATGTCCTTTGTGCTAAGTAGCTCACAAAAACAGAATTGTTGTAGAGCAACTCTGTTTGTCCATATTGAATCCTTCGATGCCTAAGAGTGACCTACAGTACCACCCTTGAATCACAACTTGAGGTTCTGTAACAGGAGTAAAGGAGATGATCACTGCCTGAAGAAGCTGTTGCTTTTTAAACAAATTCTCCTTGTCAACATCTTAGGATGTGTATAGAGAACAGTATGGAGAATATGCATACTGATGTTAAAAGTTAAGTAAAAGTAAAAGGTTAAGGCTGCTTTCTTTTCAACCATGAATTATTCAATGTTCACGAGACAACACAATGCCAAGTCACCAATTCATTTATGAGTGCAACTGGAGTAAACCAGTCTTAAGTGTGTAATGGTCAGTTGTGATCTTTTTAAATTATAGATTGAAAGAAGAATCCAAGTGGTCGCAAAGTTACTATGCTTATCTCTGTGGAGGTAAATTGATGATCATGTAAATCATATTGTGTAATAGGTTGTGGCTTGTCATTGTGGTAAATACCAATTTCAAAAGAAACATATCGTTTGTCTCACTTCGGTCACATGGGATGTGGATTGTGATGTTTTGACTGCAAACTGCTAGTCCTCCTCAGGTGATGAGGTCAATTGAGTAAGCGTCACTAATATGCTGTACCGCTCAGCTGTGATTGAATGGAATTCCATGGCTGCGATTGGTGCATCTTTGGATCAGTTCCCTCTGTGGTCCATTGCCCACAGCTCTTCTTCTGTTGTGGGTTTTTTTTTACTTTTGAAAAATTAAATCCTGGTTTTAAATCACCACATATGTTTCTCTTTGCAACTTTCATTATTTTCATTATACAAAGTAATTGTTGTTCACATCCTAACTGTAGAAAAAATAACCATTTTGTATGTGGTGGTAGTCATGTACATGTAGCAGTGTTGTCTATTGGATGCCCCCCTGAGGCAAGAAAGTAATGAAATGTTTATCACAGTTTACTCACTCTCTCTCCAATAGCTTCTCTTTTTCTGCTGAGCCCAAGTTTTAATTATACTATACTACTCCTCATGAGGCCCCAGTATGTACTGTATAAGAACAGAAGTTGATTGTATTTGTATAAATGGCGGCATTTCTTTTTTTATCATCTAGTCACAATAGGCATTTTAGGAAGTACAGTTGAGGCTCAAGCACAATTTAAATTGGTTCCTAAATTTGTCAAGAAGAAAACTCCACTGGAACAGTTTCTCTTAAGGAAGGTAAGCTTTCTCTGTCGATAAACTTGAGGTATGATATTGATTTTGGAGCTTTATTGTGGGGCCGTACACCTTGTCTTCTAGCAGTTATGTGGTGCACAGGTAGACCAACACCTTTTAGGAGAATAATTAGCAAGAAATGCGAACAAAAATACTTTATTAGACCTCTTGCTAATGATGTCAAGTTCGATATTGGGATCACATTACATGACACAGACTAAGTCACGCAGTTTCTTGTATTTTTAACACCGAGTTTATGATTAAAGAAAAAGCTGTAAAAGAGACTCTGGATACTCGAAACAGCAGACGATTTGGACACATTAGCTACTTGCAAACTTGAAAAACATGGCCAAAACTAATGTGCCAACTTTTATGAAAGGTTTGGCATTCGACCAATATGAACCTTGATGTTCTACTGCGTTGAGAAAGAAATATCGTTCTTGTTATCACTTGATTATTACTTGACGATTGTCGTTTTTGTTCTCTGTATTTCATTATAAAAAACAGCCATCTATCTGCTATTGCGACTCAATCTAATAAATGAACGTAATTTTTTTTCTCGCATCGATTTCTCAAGTTGTAACTGTCCGCCTTCACCAGATTATGTTCCAGTCGAGCTGCACCAGGTGCGCTGGATTGAGGGAGCAGGTGACGTCAAAGTGTAATGGCCGATTTAGTATGCAGAACGGCAATTAATTTCGGTTAACAGCACAAAAGTTCCGTGCTGCATACTTAATTAACCACGTTCACTCATTGCAAAATTAATCTAGTAGTCTTTGACGTTAATTTACAGTTCGACAAAACTCTTATAAAACATCTCGACAGGAACATAATCTTGTAATGGTGGATGACTGAAATGAGAAATCGAAAATGAAAAAAAAACTATATTTGAAACGGATGCGCTCTAATAAGAATTTTAATAAGAGTGAGAACAGAAATTACATTTTATAATGACTGGGGCCCAGGAGCCTATCAGCTTGGGCAACACACTCGTTAACTTTGACGTCAAAATTTACCCAGACTAGAGTTCTGCAACTGGCTGACTGAAATGTATACTCCATTACAGTTGTTTCAGTTTCAAGTTTTGTCTTTTTTTTTTTCGTTGGTTTGTTTGCTAGGCTGCTATGTACAAAAAAGGGCCACCATCAGAGGCTGATTGTTTACTGTTAGCATTAGAACTTCTGTATCTGTGGAGAGCATTCTACACTTGCAGCGAAACTGTCTTAAATAGAATTCTTTCAGGTAAGACTCTTCTTTATTTAAAAAGTACCAATAGTCTGAGCTATAACACAAAAATCTGTTTACCTACACTGTAGAAACTGCATTCAAGACAGTGCTATGAAAATTTTTGCGAATACCTTTATACCCAGACATGTTGTGGTTGAAACAGTTGGTGAGTTTACCAGATCGCGACAGGGAGATAGCGATCTTGAGGATGGACAGATCGTAATCATGGGCTGATTGATCCCCCTTTAAATTATACAAGCCATCTAAGCCTTAAACCACGCATTTATTCACACAAGAATTAACCAAACCAAGGTTTTATTCAAATCCTGAATAACCATCTGTCGAACAGCACATCATCTGTAGTCAGTTCGGATCATGCGTAATCAGTCGACCTCATTGACTAAAGGAGACCAGCGGTATGCTGTAGAATGATCACTTCGGTAGTGACTACGAGGTAAGATACACGATAGTGGTATATTAAGAGGTGTTAAATCCTTGCTTGTTTATTGCAGATGTAGAGGAGTGTCAAGTGAGTGCCAATCTTGTTCCTCTCAAGTCTCTTATACAAGGATCGGCTTGTCAGGTCCTCAAGAAAACTGACCTAGCTGTGAAGGTGCGTGTAATTGTAACAAAGTTTAAACAGAGGAGATGGCTGTGAAATAGTTCCTTGCGTTTGATATTTTAACCGTTATGCACCTCAGTTGAGCCGGTCAGCGGACATGATACCCTTTTCGTTTGGTGGACTATTTCCAAAAGTGACACTTTCAGCCAAGCTTCAAAGTTCGTAGATAAGGATCTAGTTGATATAGAGGCCGTGTTTAAGCTATTAATTAAAGTCATCTCAGCTATACTGTATTTGTTTCTATTTGATCGACAGTTTCTTCAGGATGCTATCGTCAAATCCGGTCGTAGTCCTCCAGATTCGCACGTGCCTCCTTTTGCCATGTATGAACTTGGTGTTCTATATGCGCAAGACGGAAAGGTTAGCAGTGTGTTGACCAATAATTTTTTCATAAAAAAATTTAAGAAGAGATTTGGAGAAACGTTTGATTGCAATGTTCAATGCTAAAACGTTATCAAAATACGTAGAAACTTCTTTAAAACTTGTAAAAACTTCTGAAACTGTTCGTGAAATATCGTTGACGACGTTTCGACGTTGCTTCCCGTCATTATCAAGTCAAGAATAAAAATGACAAGTTGAAATTTATAAAGTAATAAAAAAATAACAAAGGAAAGAATGTTTTTGTGCTAGAGGTAAAATAGCAATAAAGTGTTAAGTAAAAAGTTTGATGTGAATCGGGTCTCATTGCGTGTTCAGAGGAATAAAAAGCATTTCGTAGATCAAACGGTCAAACTTGCTGATACATTTTCTGAAGACTTAAAAAAGGCAATCGATGGGTTCTTTTGTGTAATCCATGCTTCACCATGAAGTGTTTCCGATGGCAGAGTGATGATGCTTGATTCGTTTATTCTCGAGTGGTATACCCGACATAATTTGCATCACAAAATACATTCAAAGAGATAAACAACGCGTCACTGTAGCAAACGGAGAAACGACAAAGAGACTTAGATTATTGCACACGCATGCTTATTACACCACAGTCCTTAGTAGGACTGTGGTGTAATACTATGTGGAATTCAGGCCTGCTTGAGTTTTTCGAAAATTTTGTAGTTATCGTTATTATGAGCTAGTTTCTAGAATTAAACTAATCCTGTATAATGTGTATAATTTTCAGATGAGCACCAAAGGAGAAGAACTGTTGAAAAGAGTCAAGGTTGATGAAAAGCGTCTTTATTTTATTTTCTGTCCTTTCCTGAAACTTCCAGATAAGGGAGATCAGTCGTCTTAATATTGCTCTCTCTTTCTCTTTTCCTATTAGGACAACTTCAGTGGTTATGACTTTGAGAACCGACTGAGTTTCCGTGTTCACGCAGCGCTTGCCAGAATAGAAGAACGAAAAATGAGCCAAGGTCAAGTAAACACCAAAAGGTGAAAATAATAGCCAAGGTCACGCGATATTAACCCGGACAAACCTCACTCACGGAATAAATTATGGAAAACTAACCTAAGAAAAGCTTAGAGAGGAATTGCAGAGGCAACAGGAAAGGATTAAAACGGATCGATGAGGCCCTCATCTGCCTGATAATGCTCAAACCTCACTCTTTGCTATGTGATTGCAATTTTACCAATCGAGTTGGTTTTCTTAAAACAAAACTGTGCAAAAATTGCTAAACAAAATTACCTTTAATGATCCCCTTTATACTCTAGCATATTACTTTACGGTAAATCGTTAAATTCCTTTTTAACAAAGTCAGTGTGCTGGCACAACGTTCTTAGACTGAGATTGTGTTTTAAAGAATTCCATTGATCAATGTACTTTTGTTTAAAAAAAAATTACAATTTTAGTCGCAGTACAAGACTTTGAACTATGTCTGAAGGCAGCGCCTTAACATTTAATCATTATTTATTTGGAGTCCATTTTCATTTTGCCCAACGGGTATGGAAAAATAAATTTAACGAGGAGTCTCGACTAAACCACAATGTTGCTTCAAAGTGCTGTTAATGAGAGATCTTTTTGACTGTCACACAGTAAACGACTAAAGAAGCTGGCTAGTGGTGGATATTTGCCCAGCTGCGAAGCGGCAAGGTGAATATACAATGCTAGCCACTGACACTCAGGTGAATAATTGTTTTAGAATATACTAAAATAATGAGATAATATAACACAAAGATGATTAGATTAATATATTCCTTCAGCGCTTACAATATGTTCGAGCGCGAGTTGCTTGGAGGTGAATGGCGAAGGATTTTCGGGGTTTGAGAAGCCAATTAGAGCACGCCTTTAGCGTCATTCAGTACTGTTTTGGTATATACTAATTAGGTTTTTTTTTGGAGAGATAAACCACTTTACAGAAATACTTCATAAGCTTCCATTGCTACGCGAAAAACGATTGTTTTTTTCCTCGACTAAATGTAAATTGATATCATGTTACTTCTGTCTTGACTCTTCATAAAGGACGGTTATTATTTAAGAACAATTCTTTGTTGAATCACAGCTTATTTCCATTCATATTATTTCCTTGCAATTGGTTGCACTGAATTTGTAACATAAAAGGTAACAAAAGCAACAGCACAGCTTCCTTGTGTCTCTAACTCAATGATGTGTCCACTCAGCATATAAAGATTCACATTTCTTCAAAGTTTTCAGAAAATCAGAACCATTAAAATGTTTCGATTAATTAAGAAGGTTTCTTAGCTTTTTGTACAATTTTATGTGCTTCATGTTGTGCCACACAGAAAGAGGCAGCGATTTCAATTCATCAAGAACTTGGTGTTTGAAAATTATAGAACCGTACTGAGCCGCCCTAAAGGTGTGAAGTTGCTTCGAAAAGGTTTTTTTTGTGAATATTATTTATACTTAGTACTAATGATATCCTCTAATTTTTACAGTGGAACTTTTTATTATTTATTGAAACTTTGGATTGAGAGAAGAGATTAGCAACATGTGGATATTTTAATGACCTTTTTGTCAAGAATGTAAATGTTTATTACCTTATTAAGATATCTCATATAAAAGTGCACTTTTCAGTCGTAAGCAAATCTTATTTGAATGAATCGTTCAGGTATATTTATGATTTTATTTAATGTAACTGTATAGTTATTTAACACTTTTGTTCTGGGATTAAACACTCAGTAACCTCGTAATGGGGTTTAAAAGGGATGTTGCGTTTGGTTTTGGTGAGCATTTCAAGATCGAATGATTTCTGCCCCCTGTGGACCAGTTTTCTACTCTATATTGTGGTCGCGATTAAACCTGGCTGTTGTAAGGCGCCCTCGTGAATGCAAAGAGACCCTCAAGGCCCTTTCATTGGGGAGAAGTCGTGAAATATACGAATCCTTTAGTGCGTATGTACAAAACTGAGGAGTAGAGGGCAGAGGCTGGAAAAAGAAATCCACTGTTCTTTACCTAAGGGTTTATCGATAATAGCTAAATTAGAAATGGTGGTGTTAGAGCAATGTTTATCAAGAGCACCCAGTAGCAAGAGTAGGGAGAAAAAAAAATCGCAGTACTCAAGGGAGGACAGCCTTTACAGCTTTTAGTGGATAACTTTCCTGAACAGTGCTATCAAAGATCAACGCATGTTTTAGAGACTTCATTGAAAGGCAATTCGACAGATTTACGGACACAATATGCCCTCCGAAGTTTTCAAACGCACCCTTAAGGCCAGCAGTTTTTATACGACAGTCGATCAATCGATCGATTAGTAATGGTAACTGCGTGTAGTCTAATTCGGTCTGTAATCATACGAGTGGAACAAAATTGGACGACACGAAGTCCTGTTACCAATTAATCAAAACTATGACAAAATTCGAGATTTAGAAAACTAGACATCGGTTATACTTGGTTTCATAAAAAATAAAACTTCAAGTTACACGGCGAAATGTGAGACAACAGTGCGCGCACACGACGTGTTCTGTTCACAAACACAGGAATGACGTGTTAACTGTCTTTTTAACGGCCTAATTGCACTGCCCAATCACAAGCATGGCGCGTTCACTGTCCTATTAGTGCTCAAATCGGGCTGGTGTTAACCAATCACGTTCGAGAATTTTGTTATCGATTTCATTGATAATGGTAATAGGACCGAGTGGAGTCTAATTTGGTCTGTAATAATACGAGTAACAGACAGAATTGGACGAAACGAAGTCCTGTTACCAATTAATCTTAACCATTACAATTTCCGAAAAAAATACATTTAGGACAAACATCTCCAGTAGGAACAATGTCTAAAGAAAAAAATTTGGAAATTTCCCAGTTTTTTTCAGGGTAAGTGGTTATTGTTATAGTTATTGTGGTCAATTCTGTCATAAGTGGATTTAGCTGAGTGGACTTAGTATGATTGGCTGCTTCAACTATCCGATTACAGGTGTCCGATTACAGCCAACTATCCGATTGTACTGTCCGATTACAACTGTACAGAGTGATAAGTGAAATATAAAGTAGCTCATGCATAAATCACATTCGAGGAAATTGTAATAGTTATGATTAGTCCAGATAGAGATAAAGAAAATACCAATGTCCTGTGAAAGAATCACAACCATACTGCTTGTGTAAAGGGGAACATGGAAGTAAATTCAAAGGATGGACTGGATAGTGACCAATTATTTAGGAATAGAAACCTCTCGTGAACGTCACGATCTTAGTTTTCGTGATAGCAACCTTATGCGCAATCTTGCGCTGCGCTCATTGTCAATCCCTTCACCCAAGCCGACGATGATCGCACACTCACTGGTCAGGAGAAAAAGCATGAATTTGACATTATTGAAACGGATGAACGGTCGCAAGGTTGATTATTTCACTTCTAGAAAATAAAATCATGAGATATGTGCGTCCCTGGACTGTGAAAAGGTCTTGCAAGTTACTTTACTGCTCCACGTTATAGAGGAAAAAGTTCTCTTCATATCATCGAAGCATCTCTGTCTTACTTAAACTTCAGAATTCAAATCACGTCCTGGTTGCTTCTTTCTGAAGAAAGCAAAATAAGCGTCAACAGCTATGCGAGTCAGTCTCGCAAATAAAAGAAATCGGCTATGGAAAGCGGCGAGAATTAGGCGTCTTCTTGTGCTTTGTCACGAACTTCTTTCAATAAAGTGAGTGAAACTGCTTTGTTTTAAGAGTAGTCAAAACGGCACATTCTTCAAGAATTCCGTTTTAAGCCGGAAGAGCTTTAGACTATATCAAGTTTATAAATTGTTGCAAAGGTCGACGTTTTAGATGGAAATTTTTTAAATTTACCGTACAGTTCCTATTAATTTCTCTCTTTCTATAGGCCAAAATACTCGATTAATGATTATTAAGATCTTTAGAGAAAACTTTTACAAAAAAATTTGTATCTTGCACGCGCTCTTCATACCTTTCAGCGCGCGCGAAACGTCAAAAACACGTCACAAAGGTCTGTAGTTTGGAAATCCTCCACAGAAACATAACAGTTGTTTGCTAGCTAGCTGGCCGTGAGCGCAAAGAAAGTTTACGGACACAATTTGATCGCAATCAAGGTTGAGTTTATTGATACACTAACTCTGATCGAGCATGCCTAAGAGAACTCCACGCTTCTCAAAGAAGGCGAGGTCAGGTCAAGACAAAAACATGAATGAAAATCCGATTCGGAAATCAAGCCAAAACTCTAGAAAGCGGAAAGCGGGAACTGATTCCCTTGCAGAGAGTAAAAGGAAACAGACAGAGAAGGAGATCGAGGTAAGTTATAACAAGTAAGAGTAGTTGTTAACTTGTCAGGATTTTCTAATTGAAATGTATTGACACAATTAACAATTAGAAAATATCGTAGGATCAGCGGAGAAGAACTAATTGAAAATGTTTGAGTTCTTGAAGTAACGCGCGGAAGCGCAGCTTGTGAAGTTAATTTCATCATTAATTTTTTTCTAGTCTTTTTCAGGAATCTATGAATCTTTATAGCGAGGGTGACAAATTTTCAAATCTTTTTCTTCTTTGTTTTTGTAGAATTTTCTGAAGATTCAACGATTCGTCTGCAGTCCTCAATTACCGAGGTAAATAAAAATTTGTCAACTTTTGAATTTGATATGAATTAAATAATTGCATTGAAGGCCCTCACTAGTTACTTTTTACGCCGGTTGTCAGGAAGGTAAGTAGTTACTTGTAACTTCGCATTGCTTTGCTTGCGTTTGACCATATTTGGAAAGTTGCCACGGAATGCGAGTGTAAGCCAGTTGAAGACGTTGCCAGGAAACGCGGGTGTCACTTGTCTTGGAAACAAACATTGAAGGGTCTTCCCGAATGGTACGGTTTTCTTCCAAATTTCGAGAAATACGTGTTTTCTTTTAATTATATATCTCCTTCTTCACCAGAGTGAGAACATTAAAGCGCATTTTGGCTAAAAATGAAAAAACGCCTTAAAAAAATTTTCTAGGAAATATGAAGTTTGAGTGAAAGGAAACACGAAACGTGTACGCTCATCAACTAGTTACCTAACGACTCCAAATGAGTTGATAATTTTATCACAATAATATTTCACTTATTTTCTTAGGGAAAAATCCAACTGTGCAGGCATCGTGCCTCACACCAGTTACTTGCAAGAGAGCAATAACTGCGGAATTTCTTCAGAAAAAGTTTCAAATAAGCCAAATTTACCTGAAAGAGAACATGCAAATGTAGATCCGACTGCAATTAACTCGGAACGACCCTCTAGAAAGCGGAAAGCAGAATGTGATCCCCTTGCTGAAAGAAAACGAACTGAAAACGAGAGCAGGGTAAGTAAATGTTTAACTGATTGAGTGTTCAAACTTTCGTTTGAATAAGCTTATCAAAATGTTCAATCGGTTAAATGAACATTGAACTATCTATTGTACTCGCTCAAAAGGAGCAAAATAAAATATTGTAATCCAGCATAAACTTCTGATTATGAAAAATTTGTTATACAATTTGATGTAAGAGGTGAATATCAATCGTCGATTTCACACCAACTGAGAAAGCATATTTTTGCTTTCTTATTTCCTTACAGGCTTCCCTCGGGAAACGACAACAAGAAAGTCATGATAGCGGTTACAAGTTATCAAGGTAAATAACAAAATGATTTGCTGAAAATAGTATGTAATTCAACTGATGATTAACACTGTTGCTTCTTTTACCTTAACAGAAAAAGGTCGAGCTGTGCGGAAGCCAGGCGTCAGGGTAACTCACCGCAAGAAAACAAAACCAATGAAGAATTACCCGATTATGAGGCTTATGAGGTAAAGAAGAAAAAAAGTAGATAATTAAGGTTACATGTAGCACTTTTATCCATTTCTAGATTTCATACCAGAATGGCAAAAGAGTGTTCGATGCTAATGGTTATCACCTATTCATTTTTCCCTGATTGGGAGCCTAAAGCTACGATACAAATGCTTGTGTTCCGTTTGTTTCTTGTAATTTAATCAGTTTTTGAGAAGGTTGGGAATAATTTCAAAACAAACTTTTTGGAAACTTGTCATGCCCAACAAAGTACCTGTAGTTTTGTAGTCTATAGCAACCAGGATAAACGAAGACTCGGGCATCATAAAAGAGAGTATGACTTAAGGAGAGAGGACTTAAGATGGAGATTGATCTCGTTTGTAGAGTACACTTGGAAAATACTTCTTAACAAGGGCTTTGGAAGCGAGTCTTTCAATTTTATTCACTTCTCCCCTTAAGGGTATAAGTTTTGATCTCTGAAGGAAACAGACTTCATAAATCTGCTTTATCGATTCTTCACCACATTTTAACAACACCAGACCTTTTTTGTCCTCAGAGTTTTCCAGGACTTGAAGCATTTCTCTGTAGCTGTCATCACAGTTATGTGTTTATGTTCTTAGGACCCTGATGAGCCCGACTGGTTGAAAGATTGTCATTCTCCATTATGGTCACCAAGTTATGAGCCAGACTACGGCAGTTATGTGGAAGAAGTTAAAAATACTGAACCTCCTGACTACATCAAGGAACTTGCCTCTTCTAATGGTATGCTCATTCCATTTTCCTATTACTGAGATTACGTCCTTCCTTTTCCTGAATAAACTTTTTCTGTGGAGGTCGAAGGCGAGTCACGGACACTATCCCCCATGTTTTATAACTCCCTCATCGGTCAAGAAAAAAAATGACAACTCGCCACAGTATGAAAGCTAC